AAAATGAAGAAAGAATATGAAATAATATGATAGATTAATTAATAATAAAAGCAAAAGTTGAAAATAAAATGATGAGTTAAATAAACAAGGAAAGAACAAAAAAAAAGAAAGCACTATAAAAAGAAAAAGAAAAAAGAGCTTTATTGTTTTAAATTAGTTTTTATAATTTAAAACATCACAATCCAAAACAAATAAACTATTTTTACTCAAGATCAAGTGTCAAATTTGAGAGATTAATGCAATTTGCTAAGCCAGAACCTAAGCCTGATGCACCTCCATCACCAATTTAATTTCTACTTTTTAAATATTGAAGAAAAAATATATCATTAAATAGTTAATTAGAAGGAAATAATGAAGAAAGAATATGAAATAATAAGATAGATTAATTAATTAATAATAAAAGCAAAAGTTGAAAATAAAATGATGAGTTAAATAAACAAAGAAAGAACAAAAAAAAAGAAAGCACTATAAAAAGAAAAAGAAAAAAGAGCTTTATTGTTTTAAATTAGTTTTTATAATTTAAAACATCACAATTCAAAACAAATAAACTGTTTTTACCGAAGATCAAGTGTCAAATTTGAGAGATTAATGCAATTTGCTAAACCATAACCTAAGCCTGAAGCACCTTCATCATAAATAGAATTTCTACTTTTTAAATATTAAAGAATAAATATATCATTAAATAGTTAATTAGAAGGAAAAAATGAAGAAAGAATATGAAATAATAAGATAAATTTATAAATAATAAAATTGAAAGTTGAAAATAAAATGATTTTTAAATAAACAAATAAAGAACAAAAAAAAAGCAAGCACAATAAAAAGAAAAAGAAAAAGAAAAAAGAGCTTTATTGTTTTAAATTAGTTTTTATAATTTAAAATATCACAATCCAAAACAAACTGTTTTTACTAAAGGTAAAGTGTCAAATTTGAGAGATTAATGCAATTTGCTAAACCAGAACCTAAGCCTGAAGCACCTCTATCACGAATATTATTTTCACTTTTTAAATATTGAAGAAAAAATATATCATTAAATAGTTAATTAGAAGGAAAAAATGAAGAAATAATATGATAGATTAATTAATAATAAAAGCAAAAGTTGAAAATAAAATGATGAGTTAAATAAAGAAAGAAAGAACAAAAAAAAAGCAAGCACAATAAAAAGAAAAAGAAAAAAGAGCTTTATTGTTTTAAGTTAGTTTTTATAATTTAAAATATCACAATCCAAAACAAATAAACTGTTTTTACCGAAGATCAAGTGTCAAATTTGAGAGATTAATGCAATTTGCTAAACCAGAACCTAAGCCTGATGCACCTTCATCACCAATTTAATTTCTACTTTTTAAATATTGAAGAAAAAATATATCATTAAATAGTTAATTAGAAGGAAAAAATGAAGAAAGAATATGAAATAGTAAGATAGATTAATTAATAATAAAAGGAAAAGTTAAAATAAAATGATGAGTTAAATAAAGAAAGAAAGAACAAAAAAAAAGCAAGCACAATAAAAATAAAAAGAAAAAAGAGCTTTATTGTTTTAAATTAGTTTTTATAATTTAAAATATCTCAATCCAAAACAAATAAACTGTTTTTACCGAAGATCAAGTGTCAAATTTGAGAGATAAATGCAATTTGCTAAACCAGAACCTAATCCTGATGCACCTTCATCTTCAATTTTATTTTCACTTTTTAAATTTTGAAGAAAAAATATATCATTAAATAGTTAATTAGAAGGAAAAAATGAAGAAAGAATATGAAATAATAAGATAGATTAATTAATAATAAAAGC